GGGATCTCCCCGGACCAGGGCACGAACCCGTGTCCCCTGCATCGGCAGGCGGACTCTCAACCACTGCGCCACCTGGGAAGCCCTTTTGTATATATTTAAATGTTAAGCATGTCTTCTGTCTTACTATCTCACAATTAAAAAATGTTTTTTACGTTGTTTCTCAAAATACGTTTTTTATTTGACTTATCTGACAGTTCTTGAATTCAAAAGCATACTTTCCATCGAAGAAGTGATTGAAAAAAACATGTTTAACAAGCTATACATTTGCATTCTAATTTTAGTATAACCATGTATCATTTTCTTAGAAAAGTATGTTGTATTTATGAAAAAAATTACAAAATAATTGTGTTATTCTTTTAGATGAAATTGCTAAGTACATGGAAACAGTGAAATTACTGGATTATGCCGAAAAACCTCTTTATCAAAAGTTACGAGATATTCTTTTGCAAGGACTGAAAGCTATAGGAAGTAAGGATGACAGCAAGCTGGACCTCAGTGTTGTGGAGAATGGAAGTTTGAAAACAAAAACAATAACAAAGGTGAGTTTTGTTACTGAATTTTCCTTTGGGCGTCTGTGACTATAATTGCAACAAGTATTAATTTTAGGTAAGAGGACCAGTAGCTCAGTAAAGAAAATAATAACAGATTGCTACGCAATTAAATATTTTTCATCATTACGTAAAAGCAAACTCTTTATGATATGGAAAAATATGTAGAAGGTGGTAGAAAAATGAATATTTATGTGTTTCTTATGTCCAGTAGCAAGTTAGGAAATTCCTGAAGAGATTCTAACTCAGGATACTAATGTCTGGCAGAGGGATTTGGGCGGGACACTCAATTCATAGTCTGTGTGTTCTTTTCTCCGACGTCACCCCTTAGGGTTGATCTTCTCTTTCACTTTTCCCTTGTTCATTGGTGTGGTCCAAGTATTTACTATTTGAAAATTGGTTTTGAAAAATTACCATTTGAAAATTACATTTGAAAGTTTCCTTGTTTGTTGTCGTGTTATGTTTCCCATTTGAACATTATTTTGCTCTTTACAGAAATCTCATTATGTAAAGCTGTGTATCTGTATATAAGGGAATTAATTTTTTGGAAAGAAATGTTAAATAGTAAACTTTATGGTAGAAATATTGCACAGGCATGTAAATAACTCCTGGTGTCACTTTAAAATTCAGATTTTGCAGGTATACATCAACTTATTGGTTATTTTTAATAATTATTGACCAACTTAATTTCCTTTTTTTTTTCTTTTTTTTTCTTTTTTTTTTTTTTTGCGGTACACGGGCCTCTCACTGTTGTGTCCTCTCTGTTGCGGAGCACAGGCTCTGGACACGCAGGCTCAGCGGCCATGGCTCATGGGGCCTAGCCGCTCCGCGGCATGTGGGATCTTCCTGGACTGGGGCACGAACCCGTGTCCCCTGCATTGGCAGGCGGACTCTCAACCACTGCGCCACCAGGGAAGCCCTTAATTTCCTTTTTAATCTGAAGTTGTTTACTAAAATGTGCTAGTTGCTTTTACATGGGAAAGGAAAACTGCTTTTAGAAGAAAAATATTTTTTTACATTATTGACTGCTTTAATTGTCTTTAACTCTGTAAATTCCAGTAGATTCCTTTGGAAATCTTATATTCCAAACTATGAGATAAACTCGAGTTAAAAACAGATGTTCTCCCTTTAAAATAAGAAGCAGCATATTAAAAGAACTTACAAAGGAGATAGGAATTTTGACATTGAATCATGAATTTGACTTTTTTGGCTAATAGTAGGTCTCTGTAATTTCATCACAGAATCTGAAATTATACATATGCATCTATATATACATCTTTTTGCTTTCATAAGTTTTGTCTTAATTGCACCTGCTCCATTTTTGTGGTCAACAACCATGTGGAAAGCCATATCCATCTTTAAGTGAAGAGGATAAATGGAAGGCTGAGTGGAATTTTTCAGTAAGGTGGTAAACTTACAGTTTGCATGCACGTATAAACATACAGCATGCATCTTCTTGCTCAGGACAGATTTTTGTACGTTAATATTTATAGCTGGCTTCTGTAGTGTTTTTCTCTAAAATTTTGCTGATTGAAAAGTAAAGATCTCTGTTGAGGTAAGAACTTGTCCAGTACCATTCCCCTTTCCTTTGCAAATCACTGTTGTTTGTACCTACATGCTAGAGAAAATTTGGTTTTCTACGGGTTGGCTGACTTTACAGCTAAATAGGTCAGTCTGCTGCAGAGCTAACATCTGTGACCTTATAATTCTCTTGTGTCCTTGGGTAGTTCAGAAAGCTGGAAATTTCTTGTTAGATCATCCCCTACATGTATAAAGCTTCATTTAGGGGGAGAAAATGAATAAAAAGCTGAACTGTTAGATTTCCTTCATTAGTTTGCTGCTTTTTTCCCCCTCAGAGCTGATATAGGACAGTTTTTGTATTAAAAAGAAATTAATAAAAGTTAAGATTAGGTAAGATCATGAAGCTCCTTGATAACCATGTAACTGTAGGTGAGTTGTTAATTTTGTTGGCCTTTTGTTTTTTGTTTGTAAAGTGAAAGAGTTGGACCAGAGCAGGTTTTTTTTTTTTTTTTAAGCTTTCTTTCTTTTTCTTTTTAAAGCATCAGAACATTTTCTTCAAATAAATTGTAAATACGCCACAGCTAAAACAGATAAGAGCAGAGCTCCGTCCAACTTTTCAGTCTGGGGGCTCCCAACAAGAGAAAGCTCTCTTCTTTGAGAAATTAGTATTCGTTCTCTTTTTTAGGAAGGAGTATAGAGTTGAGATTCTTTTTTTGCTCTGGTTACTGGGAAGTTCAGAGCTGAATATAATGCTTCATCATAGAAACTGTATTAATCCTTATAATTGCATACTTGCTCCTTCTTTTCCTCTGTCATAATTTTTTAAAACTTTAAAATAAAAGTATATGTTCTTTGTATTTAGGACACTCATATCTCTGAAAGGGATAAGTGTAATCAATTCAATATGTATTTCTCTTTATATTCCTAAGAGATATGGTAAAAAACCTATAAGAATTGGTCGACAGTGGAATGAAGCAAGCTTTCTATCCATGTTTTTACAGCCATGCTTGATTATGGTATAGTAAATTGGGAAGCTATCATGAAATATGAATGTATCCACTTTGAACTGTTTTTAGTCTCAATAACCTAAGAGGAGTACTTAAAGCACAGAATTTGGGGATGACATAAATCTGAAGTAGAAAGACACTAAGTATCACCATGCCCTTAAAAATCACTGTTAAGTAAATAATAAATAAATTCCTGCTGGCACTCAGCCTGGAACATGGTACAAAGAGTTGAACAAGAGCGGAGAAAGGTCTTCCAGTGCACATCAGTGGCCCTGCAGCTCCTCTGGTGGACAACTTCCTATCTCTTTGAGATGGTCACACCTAATGTAGTATTAAATTTATACCATGTAGCCTATAGTTAAGGTCAGATTGCCCCAAATCTACCATCTAAATTTGGTGAAGATCTGTCTAGCTGTTTTTGCGTTATAGAATGATAGAAACTGTATTTTAATTATATAAATTTAGATTGTTGCAGTTGATACATTTCTTTCTGTTTTTTAATGGTAGTTTAGCCTTAGTTCTGGATCTACGTGGATTCAGTGTTTACTAAGAATTCCTTTCCTTAGATACCCCATTATTGAGTTCTTTATTTTGAATCTTGTCTTATTTGGTTGGATTTTGTCAAGTATTTTTTTCCCTAAATTTTTGAGTGAGATTATGACATATGTACAGAAAAGTGAACAAATAATTGTGGAATTTGAACTTCACAAAGTGAATGTATGCATTTAGACGTCACCCAAATCAAAATATGGATCATTGCAGAAACCCCAGAAACCTTTCTCATGCTCTACTCCCAGCCATTACCCCTTCAGTAAGAGTAACCAATTTTATGACTCCTAACACCATAAATTAGTTTTGCTATTAAAGAAAAACATAGTAGTAGCACCATACGTTTTCTACACTTTTGTGTCTTTCATTCATTTGTATTTCTTTATTTTTCTTTTTGAATTTTATTTTATTTTTTTATACAGGAGGTTCTTATTAGTTATCTATTTTATAAATATTGATGTATACATGTCAATCCCAGTCTCCCAATTCATCACTCCACCACCCCCTCCCCCGCTGCTTTCCCCCCTTGGTGTCCATACATTTGTTCTCTACATCTGTGTCTCTATTTCTGCCTTGCATTTCTGAATTTCCTTGCTGTCACAAGTAACAAAAGTCTTTTTATTCTTGTGTAGTACTCCATTATATGACTATATCATTATTCATTTATCCCTTCTGCTCTTGGATGTTTGCATTGTTTCCAGTTTTTGGTGATTGCAATAATGCTGTTAAGAACACTCTTATAAATTCTTTTGGGAAACATATATAATTATTTCAAGTTTGGTGTATACATAGTAGAATTCCTGGGGCGTAGGGATTACGTATACTTAGTAGCTTTAGTAGATACTGCCAAGCAATTTGCCCAGTTTACTCTCCCACAGCAGCTTATGAGAGTTCCAGTTGCTCACTGACATTAGCTATTGCATTATGTTGAATTTTATCTATTTTGGTAGATGTTTACTAGTATTTCTTTATGGTTTTAATTTGCTCTCCTTGAGAATATTGATTTTGAACACCTTTCCATAGCCTGTCAGTCTTTTTTTTTTTTTTTTTTTTTGCGGTACGTGGGCCTCTCACTGTTGTGTCCTCTCCCGTTGTGGAGCACAGGCTCCAGACGCGCAGGCTCAGCGGCCATGGCTCACAGGCCTAGCCGCTCCGCGGCATATGGGATCTTCCCGGACCGGGGCATGAACCCATGTCCCCTGCATCGGCAGGCGGACTCTCAACCACTGTGCCACCAGGGAAGCCCTCCTGTCAGTCTTGATTATCCTTTTTTGGTGAGGTGCATTTCAAGTGTTTTGTCCATTAAAAAAAATTGGGGCTGTCTGCTTTCCTTTCATTTGCAGAGTTAAGCATGTTGTATATATATACAATATATGTATTGCACTTTTTTTTTTTTACAGTCTGTGATTTATCTTTTCACTCTCAATATGGTATCTTTTGATGAACAGAAGTTCTTCACTTTAATTAATCATAATTTATCAGGTTTTTGTTTGTTTATGGCTAATGCTTTGTGTATTCTATTTTAGGAAAATTTTGTCTACCTCAAGATCATGAAGACAATCTTTTGTCAAGAAATTTTATCTTTTTCATTTAGGTCTACACTTTAACAGAAATTGATTTTGCACATGGTGTAAGTCGGTGTTTATTTACCCCCTGTGGATATCTAGTTGATCTGAACTATTTATTGAAAAGATTATAATGTCCCCACAGCATGTAGCTGTTTTTCAGGTAACCATATGTGTTCGGGTCTGTTTCTGGACACTCTGTTCTGTGCCATTGGCCTGCTCATCTGTATTTGGGTCAGTGCCACACTGTTTGAACTACTGGCTTCATAATGATATTTGATAGTATAAGTTCTCCAACTTTATTCTTCTTTAAGATTGTCTTTGCTGTTTTTGGCTCTTTGACTTGACA